TGTCAGAAAAGGAAACGTTTCCGGAGGAATGCTGGCCGAATAAAAATGATGGCTTTAAATATACCTGTGTACAAAGTAGCCGATATTCTACGAACACTCAGAGGGAACCTAACTTTAAACGGACGCCTTATCTCAGGTATAAGACTGCAACCATCGTCAGCGGAGCACCCCGGCCCACTGCTCCTTCTTTTATCAGATGCATCTAATATTATATCCTAACACTCACAATATCAGACGCTGAGACGACTCATATCATTCACTGACCTGACATTTACATCAGCAAAATACAGTATAGCAAAACCCGAACGCTTGATGGAACACTATGTAGCGCCCACGGCTTCAAGTAGATTTACTGGCCACCAACATGTGAAACCCAAAACCAAACCAGAGCAGTTTTCTTGCAACGACTGAAACCGAACGCCACCAATCCTAGTGCCGTGTCTTGCCAGTCCAGTGACGCATCACTTTTCCAAGCAGCTTTTAAATCTAGCACAATTATGCCAGTCTTATTGCGGCCTCAGTCCCCTGAGGTTCCATCATCCCACCCCCAAGTATGGATACCGATGCATGCAATGGCAGCAATGCCACACCCCTAGGTATCAATGAAATCCTAACTCTGCCACACCAGCAAGGCGCTGTCAAGTTGCATCTTATCAATGCTCGCTCTCTAAATAATAAAATACATACCTTGCGCCACCTGCTTGCTCTCTCAACTCCTGATTTGCTACTCATAACTGAAATCTGGCATGACCCCGCACTGCAAATGAGTTCTATCAAATAGTGCGCCATTCATGAACAGGGGCGGGTGAGCTATTTATGCACGGGACCAACTCCATACTCAATTAATAGTAGGCCCGAAACTCAATATCATAAATGAATCCGTGTGGATCTCTATTGAAATGAATTGCTCTCTAATTTCGGTTGGATGTATTGACAATCCACCCGGGTTATGATGCACCACTTTTAGAACACCCCAATTTTGGTTTAGAATTTACTTCTGAGCGATCCTTTAGTCAGAAGATAATCGGAGTTGGCTATAATTTACCAGCAAGTTCGTTGGCAGAGTATACAGCACCACCAAAGTTGTTGAGTTACGTCTCCGAAGTCCGGGCCCAAGCATGGACTCAAGTGGTTCATAAATCTACCAGGGAAAACAACATTTTAGACCTAATTTTGGTCCAAGTCATACATCCCACATCTGTCAGTGTAGTAGCTCGTTTCCCAAGTAGTGATTATTGAGTCGTGTACCTCGGTTTCGCGGCACTCGACCCCATCCCATAAGACAACTAAAAGAGCCCTTCACGGACTTTAGAAATGCAAACTGGGACACATTTGCTAAACTGCTGCGAAAAATGAACTGGGATCTTGGCTTTCGCACCAGAGATACACAGGTTGCAGCAGACGAAACTTATATAAATATCCAACACTGTCTTCATATGCTTGCTCAACTCGTACTGCGATCCGATAAAGTTTTCACGAAAACTACTCCCGAAGCATGCCTACTGCGTAAACTGAAAATAAGTCGCTTAAAAATTAGACAGGCTCGCGATTTCTCCCTACTTATCAGACAGGATAAGCTCTTCGACCAGTTGCGGTCGATTCGTGCCGCAAGATTACTAACAGAGGAAAACCGAGTATTGATAAATGACAATACATCTAAAGCCTTGGTCAAGCTACTAAAGGCCAGTCAAACTAAATCGGTATCATGCAGCGTACTATCTGACAGATCCATGACCAGGGACCCCACCATAATAGGGAAGGTTATGAATGAAAATTTTTCTACTTTGTTTACCAGTTAAAGCAAAACACACGATTAGTACTCCTACTGATGTTGGCAAACTTAACAGTGCATTTCGATTACGGTGTCATTCAAGCTCACAGTGATCGGCTACGGTCTTCGTTCCATCCTGGACCTGATGGTCTACCAACTTCTCTAATAAAGTTTGGTGGCCGGGATATATCGCGCTTGATTCTAAACGTGTTTACCCTATGATTTCGGGTATACTCCTGAATCAATGGAAACTAGTATAGAACCTAGACATAAGAATGGTTCAAAACTAGACATAAACAATTACCGTCCAATTAGCCACACCCAGATTATTACGAGAATAATGGAAAGAATTGTGAAATAGAAAACTGTTATGCACTTGCTCTCAATGAATTTAATAGACCCAGCTCAACAGGGGTTTTTGCAAAGACGTTCATATCAGCTATCTTTTCTAAATCATCTGATAACCTCCACTGACAATGGAAAAGCAGCCATCAATCTCTTTATTGATATGCAGATGGTCTTTGACAGTGTCGCACAACAACCTCTTAGTGAAGCTAACCTATTTCGGGATCACTGATCCCTTGTACTCATGGTCCAAATCTTATCTACTGATTGTAAGCAGCAGGTACAAATAGGACATACGAAGTCTTCACCACTGAAGATCAAAAGTGGTGTGATTCAAGGAAGTGTGTTAGGTCCCTTACTCTTCCTAATGTATATCAATGATATAACTGAAAACGTTCCCATAGACCTACTGGCCTTGGAATCGTGGTGTAATGACTGGCAAATGTCTTTCTCAGCGGATAAGTGCAGTGTGTTAACATCCAAGTGCGAACTTTCGCTTGGTTGTAAACCCATCCCCCTGCAATAAGACCATAAGAGATTTAGGCATTCGGTACTCTAACACTTTGAATTTTGGTAAACAAGTTGAAATCATAACGGTTAGATCACGAAGAAACGCAAAACTTATCTTAGAATCATTTACGATGCGTGAACCCAAACTGTACTTATTTAAGGCTTGCGTTCGCCCTGTACTAGAGTATTGATCGATTATATCTACAAGCAGCAGGAAAAGTGACCGCATGTGCCTAGAAAACGCGCAGAGATCATTCACAAAGGCTCTCTTTAGCTCTTCGTCTAAACTTAACTACTCTGAACGTTGTGAGATACAACAACTGGAGCCACTGTGGATAACACGCATAAAGCTTGAATTAACATTCCTCTTTGATTTGAAGCATAAGTACGTTTTCGCGCCAAATATCAATATTCCCTTCAAAAAAGAAATCTAGTTACGCAATTAGAAATACCAAGAACAAACTCCCAGTGTTCAAAACGCAAACTAATGTCCGAAGCAAATTCCTTGCTAAACAGATACACTGAGATCTGGAACAGCCTGCCTATTGTAGTAAGAGCATACGAGTCACAACCGCTGCCCAAAAGAGCAATTTCAAAGTGCCTGACGGTGCAATACGTAAAAACAATGTTGCAACCAAATTGCAATGAAAAAGTCTTATTTGAGGAGGGGGTAGAAACGTAAGTGCGTTGATAACAAATATACATGAAATGTGCTACGGAGACTGCAATCACTTGGTCAAGCCCTCTTGAAGAGATGTATTGGAAAAAAGATACAATGTGGCCAGAACTCTTTTCACTCTTCTTCACCCGACCCACTTACCTTCTTTACTCGGGAAAGCATAACTTACAGACACACCAACAAGTGTGGGCAGCAGAGGAATTGCGAACTGAGATTGAGATAATCATTTTTGTCTTCACTCCTTCATCTTCTGCATAATCAGCCACGCTTACCTTGCAGCTATACAAAAAAGTGTGAGCTGAGAAGGGAACGCTGACTAAATCTATCCATCTTCATTCGCTCTTCTCTTACTCGTCTATGCTTCCCATGTTGCTCTCATGTAAACATGTCAGACATCACGGTGAAGCTAACCGATTCTGCTTCCAACATCTTCATCCCTACTTCAAAAGTTCTCTCATTGTTTCTCTTACTTGCATGCGCCCAGTGTACAGTTATACCAAAATACCTGTACCAGTTTAAAGTGCCAATCACGTTCACCTTACACACAACAGATAAATCTCACATTCCATCCGTCTAGGCCTATATGTAGAGCTGCTGAAATGAAAGTAAATAAATACCCCCGCATTTCACCAATCTTTCTAGAACGCCACAATGTATGGTAAATGATTTACCTACATCAGCTGTTTTGTTTAAATGGTATGATTTCGGCTTTTATCTTTTGCAATCGTCAAAATTGCTTCTCATCCTTTGCCCAAGGAAATGAAAACTCAGTTACGTCCGCACAAGGAGATCTCCGTCAGGACGTTATGATATATGCTGCGCCCAAACAAGGCTTTGAACTGTAAAATCCTGGCGGATAAAAAACGTTTTGTAATTCTGCCGACATATGGAATATGCTGTTAAACTATACGAAACAATGGTAACAATATGATCATGCCGAACAGGGCATGTTTCGTAAAATCGAGAATATACGTTATTATTATTAATGGGATTACATTTGGCCTCCGCCTGGACCAGTTGATGTGAGGCTGAGCCACCCATGCTAGTCCGTTCACACCATCCGCATATTTGCCTCGCTAGAGTAGGTGATCGATGATAAGAAGATATAAGGCGTGACCATACGCTTTGGGCTGCATTACCAGTTCCTCAATGTGAACAGATAGATTATATTAAGCTGGCTACATTTACAGGCTGCAGCAGTGAGAAAGAGATGCCACATGAAAATCACTCTGAATGAAGCGTAGAGAGAGGACTAATCATGTGCGACTCGATCGGACAGAAAATTTTTCATAAGATCACAACCAAAGGGTTACCGTAAAGAAACAGACGACTTTTTCTTGACCTACTGGGGATGGTAAACAACTCACCGTACTCGAGACATGGCTCGCTAACAAACCGTCACCGAAAGTAAATGAGCATGGGAATTTACACGTGCGCAACAATGGGTAACAAGCCAACCCGCGCCAGTATAATTACAAAAAACGCATGCAATATTACAACAATTTATCCAGATGCAACATGTGAACTGAGACCAAGCAGCTGACTGAAATGGTAAGTGGTCTTTCGGAAAGACAAGTGGTGTAGAAAACAATGTCATCCTAAAATGTGATCTGTGATTTACAAAGGAAAAAGAATAAGGCACATCACAAAACCTCGAGAAAAGTACAGAGTGGTAAGTCTCGTAGGAATAGCGTACTAAGAGGATATGGTTGATGAATCCGACATTGTGACGCTGGAGAGATCACAGCCATTGGGTTCATTTGTCACAGGATAGGAAGATGAATTGAACTCAGCTGAAGGATCCCCTGAGACGCTGAAGTACCTTTTCTGAAAGTACATATCGAAAGCAGTGAGATAGAAAGTGGTAGTAAAACTAACCAAAAAAGGATAACAGTGAAAAGTCCGTGAACACAACGAGTTACCTGTCGGTGAATAAAAATCTTGCGGATTCCAAAATAAGTCTAAAATTAGGAAGCGGGAAATACGCATCAGAAAGTGAAAACTCCACAAGGCTTACAATAAAAGGTGTTCATGCAGCTCAAACCATTCCCAAGAAAATGACTGAAGGAAGGTGTGGTGCGCAGAAAGAATCGGGTAGTAAAGCCATATACAACAGAAAACCAACAAGTTGTGACCGTAAGAACGATAGGATCAGAGTACTGGGCGCAAATAGCAGGACTGGTTAAGTACGTTAGGGTGAAGTTGACAAGTAGAAGCCGTTGAATAAACGCTAAGACACCCCTCCTAAGCCCCCGAAGAAGGGCCCAAATGTAGCACTGAAAATTCGGTGCCACGCAACCACCACCAGTTGCGCATGGGCTAAGGATACTGCGAGGGTCGCCCTGCCCCTACGCAGGCTCGAACCCGCTACCAGAGATTACAACGCAGGTTTGTGATCCTTAAGAAAACGGAGAACTATAAAGGGACATAAAGGGAAAATATTGGAATCACTCAAAATTCATTACTGAGACGATAGCGTATAACACAGCATTGGGATCATGCATTGGCTCACTACATTCCCTTGGCTACTTAGTTGGTGGAAGCCAAGGAGTTTTAGAAATGATCGAGAATGTCTACGGTGTGAGCACTTCATTGCTGATTTGCAGTGAGAGTTGCTTGAGAGGAGGGAGAAGAGGAAATAATTAAACAGTGGACACCGGGAGCGATTAAGAGAAAGACAGGCGTAGGAATTCCGCACTTCACATGAGAAATCTATCACAGAGCGGACAAACCCACTAGAAGATTGCGAAAAAGAACAGGACTCAGACGCGACTTCAAGTGATAATAAATGTTTTTTCCAAAATGTCCAACCGTTACGGTCGTTTCTACCGCAACTGAACCACCTACTTTAGATAAGACGACAAGCGATATACATAAAATCACTTGTAAAAATTCCAGAGGCCGAATAACGGTCTACGGAAAACTGTCTCTTGAGTTCCCCACGACAAGTGAGGTTCGCCAGGATTGTTTTCTACCTCCTTTCCTTCTCTACTTCGTGATCAAAATGATCATGAATGACTCACTTCTTCCAGACTCTATCGGAATGAAAGTACTGGCAGGTGACCAACTGAGGAACCTGGAGTATGGAGATAACATAGCAGTGGCTGTTCAAGCACTACTGCACAGACTGACGCGCAGCGCTATACGCTTCGACACCTTCAGAGTGCAAAGTATTGTTGTTGAACTGTAGGGATATGCCACCGGATCTATCTATCACCGAACAGCCACTGGAAGTGGTGGTTCATTTCACTCACCCTGGTAGCTGTCATCTCTGGTGGTCATGTCACTGAGAAAATCACTTCGCGCATCAGCAACACCCGTATCGTTTTCCAGAGGCTCAACAATCGATGAGGACGGCGGGATATCAGTGAATGACAGCGTGTACAACACTGCGGTAAGGCCGGTGTTACTGTACGTATCGGAAAAGTGGCCACTTCGCAGTGAAGACATTAAACCCTTGGCCGTGTTTGATCACCTGAGCTTGCGGAGTATTGCTCACTTCTGGTGGGAACACCGGATAAGGTTCGCCAAATGGTTTTTGGCATGAAATCTTCTGGTGCCTCTCTTGAGTGATTACTGAATCATAATCGCTTACGTTGACTAAGTCCTATCCTCGGTTTGCCCGTTGGCCAAGTTCTTCGGCGTCCTTTATGGGCCGTGGCTTCCCCAAGTTGGGCGAAAACGCGAGGTGAGCAGTCCATAACATGGCATAGAAGCTTGAAGAAATTAACTGAGAGGATTTGTCAGGCTGGTGCATGCAGTCGTCGTAGACAAGGGCCCAGAGATGGTTCACACAAGTGGTTGGAGACTCTATCAGACATGACGCAGTCAGTGGCGTTTATGCAGTTATTTTTGTGCATCCCGATTAGTTTTGTACTTTTCTGTCATGGTTCTATTTCCTTTGTATTCTATTTGCCCTCGAGCTAATTTCCCTTGCTGTTGTTGTGTTATTCAGAAGTGAGTGGTGGCAGCTGGAAGCACTTCGCTACCCGGACCATAGTTGTTTAAGTGGACTGAATCGAATGGTCGCAATAAATTAGGAGACTGCGTGGCAGGATTTCAGAAGACAAGAAACGGACGTAGCGATTAACAATGAAGGTGTCTAAACGCAGGACTCCACTAAAAAGATAGCGGTGGATGCCGTGAACAAGCGACATGTTGAGATGATATGGGCGGGGATTGCAGATGACAGTACAAAGGTTAGGTACTGATGTGGCATGTATCGGTAGCGGACTACGTGAATAAAAGCAGATGTGGTAGAAAAACCGGATGCGTGGCGACCAGGATAGATTCAATCGATCAGTTGAGTCGACGGGTTGAGCCGGGTATCTAGGGGGAGAGCCACTAACACTACCAGTATGCGACATAACAGCTGAGGAGTTTGCACCTTTACCTAACGTTCAGAGTGTTGATGACGCGTTACGCGTAGGGTGCTTGGCGAATAGTTCGCATTACTACCTCTTGTGCTGTGATAATCAAGATGATATGACGAAGTGTATGTCTGTATGCGTGTCCCTAGCTCAAGCACCCAAGGAGATATAGAGAGATGGTCAATGGCCAGATTAACAGGACAGAAACCAGTTTTGATTTCAATGAATCGGCTTTCTCCCAACTCGATGAGAAGCAGCTACATGATGTGCACGCTCAGTTTGGAGGTAAAAACAATGAGGTAAATGATTCGACGGCTCTCACGTGATGTATGATGAACTTGCAGAGCGAAAGGCATGATGATAGGTAGCTGTCAGAATGGAGGTATTTTTTCAATGTCTCAAAAGGCGCAAATAGGATGACAAAAAATTAACCGGTAAAATAATCTCTTTATCCGCCCTCAGTAAGGGAGTAGGTTGTTAAATCCATGGTAAGCATTAGTAGATCAAGCGCAAGCCCAGTCTCATAGGTGTGGCGTCGAAATCGTGTATTCCAGCAAACGCTGACGATTAATAGGGTTTTGAGGCGTTCTTCAAAACAACCTCGAGAGTGCTTTCGTCGTTTCCAATAATGGGTCAACTGCACTTTGCAACATTGGTCGACAAGAAAGTTGCTAATGACTTAAAAAGGTCCTTTTCTGTAGCAATTTGGTGTGCAGAAGACGAAAAGGAACATGAAAATGTTTGTTGACTGTTGTTCCGAAGATATAAATAAATAAATAAATAAATTGTATATTCCTCGACTATGCGAGAAGCTGTTCTCTATAAGGAACAGATCAAATAATGGTACAACTTTTCCATGACATTTCATCAATACATTTTCAGAGATAAACATGGATGCAATTGCAAATTATGTTACACAGAGTAATCAGAATCGTTCTGCTATTTTTGCCTGCCACTGAATCAGGATTCTTTACAATCACATGATAGATATTTGGGCCGAGAGAAAAAAAATGTAATGAAAGGGGCTGTTGTCCGAAATGTTATGTGTATGTGCTTCAGAAATTTATTCAGGCACCATGGATACCGTTTTCGAATGCGTTATCTAGGGACTGTGATGTCCCGAACATCTTAATCACGTTTTGGACGGTTAAATGCTTACTAATAGCAAGCTTAAAATTGCAAAGCGTATAGCATGTTCTGATATCACTTGGAAGTTTGTTCCAAATCTTTGAGTATTGGGTTAGAAAGAAACGTTCTCTGATTCTCGTAGAAAATTTTGGAATCATGACCTTTACCTCTTTGTTACGTATTGGGTATCTGTTGTTTACAGATATGTGAACACCGCTTTCAGGACTGCGAATTTGACAATTTATGATTCTGTAAAGAAAACATAGGTTCAGCTTCATTATCCGAAGCCAAACTGGGTCAAATCCAAGTTTATCGCATCGCTCCTTGTATGTCAACTTTGAGGAATATCCACATAGCTTTTTCGTGAAACGTCTCTGGACCCTCTCAAGAGCGTGCTGGTCAGACTTCCGTAGATTAGACTGTATCATTGAACAGTATTCCATACACGGCAATACATATGTTTTGTAAAGGGATATGCGAGATTCCGTGAGGTAAAAATGATGGCAGATATAACCAATGGTCTTCATGGCTTTCGAAACTTGGAAGTCACAGTGTTCAGAAAAGTTAAACGTAACTGAATATCGCACGCCCAAGTCGCGAATTGTCCTGCATTGCGAGATATAGGCACCTTGTAGCAATAAACTGTCTGGCGGTACTTGGCATTTGTACGACAAAATATTACACTTGTCCACGGCAAATGACATCTGCCACAGTTGGCACCAGGAGTCAAGGGCGGATAGGTCATCCTGAATGAGACGTACGGCTTCCTGAGTATTTGCACGTGGTTGTGAGTAGACAACTTTAATGTCATCAGCAAAGATAAATGCAACACCATTTCTTATTCTCTGGAATATATCGTTAATATAAATTAGAAAAAGAAGTGGACCAAGAACACTCCCTTGAATCACTCCACTAGTGATTGCTTTCGGTGTAGAGAAATGATCGCCTATGCGCACAACCTGCTGTCTACCAATTAGATATGAAGACAGCCAAGAGAACATCGGTTCTCTAATGCCTATAGCCTTCAGTTTTTCCAGTAACCTTCTGTGAGGCACTCTGTCAAAGGCTTTTTGCATATCCAGGAACAGGATTACGACACTGTTTCCGTTGTCAATGGCAGCCGTTGTGTGGTTTAAAAAGTCAGTCTGGCATGTTGCGCAGGATCGACCTTGCATGAAGCCGTGTTGCGAATTGCTGATAATGTTAGCTTTGTTCAAGAATATAAATAGTTCATCTTTTACTATCCTTTCCATTATTCTAGATACGATGGGTGTGTGATTTATGGGACGAAAGTTTTTAACCTCGTGGGCAGCGCCATTTTTATGTCGCGGGATAACAACAGAAGTTTTCCATTGAGTAGGGTATACTCCGTTGTTAAAAGAGAGTGTGAAGATGTTGAGCAAAAGCAGAAGGAAGTCACTACCACTGCGTTTTATTAAACATGGGGGTAGTCCATCAGGGCC